TATAATTTATAATAAATTATAGCAAAAATCTATTGGATGTGATTTAGGAAACTAGGCTGCTTCCAAAATTACTGATTACTTAGAAGCATTGAATGCTCATAGGAAGAAAGACTTCATGTTAGGGCTTATTCATGTTACTGTACAATGTTTCCTCAAATAGGTTAAACATTTTGTGAGTCTTAGTATTAAATGTGTTTTTTGTGGAAGGAATTGTTGTAGGTCTAGGTCTGCTCCATAAAATGAAACAAATTATGTAATGTAGGTATGAGATATATTTATTTTCATACCCATATATTATGTCAGAAACTTTAAAAAAATTTAGAAATTTCCTTCTCTCCCTCCCTCCTATGCTTCCTCCTCCTCTCCCTTCCTTCCTTTAATCTCATTTTGGAATACCCAGCTGCTTTTGACTCTTCTAAGATTGCCACAATTTAATTACTGACTGGTATTTAGAGTGTTAATATCTGGAACACTTGATTTCTACAGCTCAAGTCTTGTGTTTCTTTTTCCAGAATCACTCTTACCATACATCTTTAATTCACCAAACTATTCATGAAGATTATTATATGTAAAGTATTATGTTGGGAGCCAAAGCACATAGGTAGTTCAGAATCCCTATACTAGATATTCACTGTCCAAAGGAAAAAGACAACCTGATTTCTTTTCCAGCCTACTGTCATGAAACATAAAGCCACAATATTTTAATGAATAGCACATTCTCTAACTTAACATTAGTTAAACAAAATTCAACTAACTATAAACATTAGGTAACAATATTTGTGAACTCTCGATTTTTGTAAAACATCTCCTGAGGGAAAAAAACCCTAGCTTATTATTTTAAAATACCAATTTTACACTCTAAATAACTTGCATTTATGGAATAATTTCAAACCATTAGTAATGATTAGACAGACTTTCATTATGTGTCTTGTGTCAGCTTTCCTGGCACTGAGACACAATACCTGTTCCCTGCAATTTAAGGGAAGATAGATTTAATTTGGCTCATGGTTTCAGTATTCAGTCCATGGTTGGCTGGATCAAGACAGAAACATCTCAGCAGAGAAGTGTGGCAGAGAAAAGATGCATAGTTCATAGCAGCAGAGCACAGCAGGGAGACAGTGCAACAGAGGGACTGAAGAGGAACCATATTAGTACCCAAGGTCACTCCTCCATGACCCACCGAGAAACACCAAGGGGTGTGTTTTACTAATCTACTAGGTTATTTCTTAACCAATAAAGTTGATATGTCAGGATTAAAAGTCACGTGTTTTAGACAGTAGTTTCTATATTATAGTTTTTCTATTAAAAATTTTAAGAAGTCTTTTCTGTACTTAATTACTCTGCTTTTGAATATCTTAGTAATTTGGTCTTATGAAGTCTAAACAATATACACCTAGATGTCTGCTTTGTGATATTTATGCTTAACTTGTTTTGTTCTTTTGTTTTCAGGAAGCAGAAGCCCAAGCAAATCAGCAAGCATGAACCTTAAGCATTCTGCCTTAAGCATTCTGCCTTAAGCATCTTGAAAAATGAGTCCCTATTGCTTTTATAAAATAACAATTTTTCAAATAGCAAAATTATCTTGATTTCAAAAGAAATTGGCTTAAAGTTAAAGTAGTTAATTAGGTGGTATTTTCCTGTAAAATGAAAATGAATACATAATTAAAATACGAACATTATGTTGAGGATAATGGGAGGTTATGATAAAATTTTAAATAAATATCATGGGATAGTATTATCTTCCAAGATAATTTTTGTACCTTAATGATTTTTACAAAGAAAATACTCTTCCTTTTTGATACTCTCACAACTTAAGTGTATCTGCAGCTCACCATTCAGAAATAGAAAGTGTGAGTGAATCTGTCTCTTGTTCCCAAATTGCCTCATTAGTTTTAGTGAACAAGAATATGTATGTGTTTTATGTGAAATTGTGATCAAAAAGTACTTGGAGATAATGATTATGATATTTGAAACATTGTAATTTTATATGATAATTATAACATTCCCATTCTTTTGTAGAAGAAACTTATATGTACTGATCCACAAGCTTTCAGAATTCTAAATGTAGCTTTTCATTCCACATTAAGTGTTCAGATTACACGACCCACTCCCATAAAAAGCAGTAGGTGCATTCACTTGACAAGTTCTTTATGTAACTGCATTCTTATGATGAAATTATGTTTCTGAATTGCTTACCTCAGTGAAATATGCATGTTTTTTCATGGAATTGGGATAGCAAGGAAGCTTAAAAGGGCATGCTTTTGAATAGAGCTCAGATTTTAATTAATTATTAAAAAGTATGTTGCCACTTATTGACCAACATTTGTTTTCTATGGGTTTTTACTAAAAGAAATCTTATTGGGTTTCCCCTTTTTAAGAGACTGTGACTATGAATGCCACTGTCTCTTGATATTGGACCTTTCTGTTTCAGTTTAGTCATACATTGTTTAAATACATTAATACAAGCAGAGAGAATATTTTCTATGCCTCTATTCCATGAAAAAGTACAAATATCAAGTAAATGGATATGTTAATCATGTTCAATTGTTGTGACAAAATACCTAAGAAACAGTTTAAAAGAAGAAAAAATTTCATTTTGCTCCTGGTTTCATAGGTCCACGTAGCTTGGTATCACCACTGTGGGCCTGTAGCAAACAAGAACATGGTGGGGAGAGTATGGTAGAGGAAAGCTGCTCACCTCATGGTGGCATCGAAGCAAAAATAGAGAAAGCTCCCTTTTGCAACAAAGCACCTCCCCCCAAACCCAGTGTAATATGTGTTCATCAATAAGTTAATATAGCTTCAGCTGTTGATGAGGTTAGAGCCCGTTATCTAGTCATTTTCAAAAGGCTTCACCTCCACCTACTGCTGCCATAGGGATCAAGCCTTCAACACATGAGCTTTTGAGGGACACTGCAGGTACAAAACGTAACAAGAGACATCTTTTAAAATATTATTAAAGACTTTTAGAGAGAAAGCATTGTCTAAATCACTTAACTCAGAAAAAAAAAACTTTTGTATTTTAGTTCCACACTATTTCTAAAAAACAACACCCTTTTCTTTAGTTTATCCTGTTTCTTGTTTGCTAGTCTGTACTCTATAAAAATCAACATATGATGAAAATATGGCTTTGTTTATTGATAATCAAATGATGTGATGCTTTAAAATAAACAGTACTTTCAGAAACATAATTTATGTGTTCCTGGAATTTCTTAATATAATAGTAATTTTAAATGAGTAATATTACTTGTAGAGCATTTCATGACCTGAATTTTGGAATATACACTGGAGTCAAACAAACTATTCCATTATTTTGTTTACAAAAATATGCCTTAGAAAACTCTTTCTAGAGTTCTCACAGGGTAATTGATAATAGATTCTGGAAAATGCTAAAAAAAATTAGCCAAAATTTTCTAAGTTTTATTAAATATTGAAGATAATACTTTGGGTGTCCTATGTGGAGATTTTTACTTTTATTTTTGTGTCAGGTGATTTTACACTGTCAAAAATATATGCATTGGGAATGTTTATATGTATTAATTATATGCTAAAATTAATGTCTCTAGATTTAAAGTAAGATTGGATGGAGCCTTCTTGAATGGAAATCTTTTAGTCTGTAACTGTATACATGATTTGAAAATATGTTCTTCCATTTCATGGGTCATATATTCACTCTTTTTTCATATAGTCATTCTTTTGGAGGTGTTCTTTGAAGTACAAAAGTTTTTAATTTTGAAAATCAATTTATATATGTTTTTCTTTTATTGCTTATGCTTTTGCTAAAATAGAAGAAAAAAAGTGCCTAATTCAAGGTCTTTGAGATTTATTCCTAGTTTCCTCTAATACTTTTCCTTGTGGTGTACACACACACATATATGTGTATATGATCTACTCTGAGTTTCTTTTTGTATATGGTATAGGGTAAGGATTCAAGTTCATCTTTTTTAGTACATGTTTTCAGTACAGTGGACCCTTGACTTATGAACTCAGTTCTTTCTCAAGGGCTGGTTGTAACTCAAGTTGGTCAATTGAAGCCCCAGGCTCCTCTACACAGCCCTCAAAGTCCCTCTCCTATATATAGGCAGATCTCAGTGTCCTTAGAAAGACAATGGCCTAGGATTTCTCAACCCCACAAAGGAAAGGATGCTGTAAGGATACTGGAAAGGTTCCTTCCAGAACTCTTTAAGGGTTAAATCTGTATCTGAGACCATCTGAAAGCAGAAGTTGCTGGCATTCGGGCCTTCAATACCTTGTTCATAAAGTAAAACTAAATTTCCAGTCATAACCCAAGTTGATCATGTCAGGCTGGTCGTAACTCGAGGGTCCACTGTACATAATAGTTTACAGTCATCTTGGGGAATAGGTGCATGTACATGCTACAGCTTATTTTTTTAATCTCCTTTCTCTTCCCCCTCCTACTTTCCTCCTTCAGTTCCCCTTTCCCCATTTTCATTCTTGTTGATATTATTAGTTTTGACACATTTATGGCATACAATCTTTACATTCATTGAGCTTCTTGTATATGGCATAACTTTATTGTACTTATTTCCCCTTATATTCCCCATCATCCCATGCCCTTGTTCTTTTGGACTCCTCATTTGCAAGAGATCCATTCCTTTGTCTCCAACCTACCTTTTATTCTCTTTGTACTTTGTCTTACTCAAATGAGGGAACCATATGATGTTTAAGCTTGTGTGTCTGGTTTATTTCACTCAACATTTTATTTTCCGAGTGCATCCATTTTCCTACAAAGGGCTCAAATTTGTCCTTTATAGCCAAATAGTATTATATTAAACATAGATACTGCATTCTCTTTAATCATATGTTGATTTACAGGCTGCTTCCAAGATTTAGCTGTTATGAATTGTGCTGCTGTAAACATTGGTATGTATGTATCACTGTAGTACAAAGTCTTAAGCTCTTTGGGGAAGATATCTAGCAGGAGGACAGCTGAGTCATATGGAATTTCTAATTTTAGTTCTTTGACAAATACCCATATTGATTTCTGTACAAGACCACCTTAAGATAGTGTTGAGCAGGCGTTGATTATATTCAGTTGTCTTAGTAAAATTGGCTTATACTTATAATTCAGAACTGGTATAAGGCTTAAGTGCATAGCTTTATGGCTGCAGCTGTCATGCAGAAAGAGAACTCTATGTGCCACTGGCCACGACCAAGACTAACCCAGGTCAATGACACTGTGGCACCTGTATTAGCTGATAGACTCTGCAGCTGAAGACCCCATGATTCTTGCTCATCCTGTATAAAAAGGTAATATTAAACTAAGGGAAAGAACAAGTTCCCATTAACCTAAGATTCACTTCTTGCAAGAATGCTTTGTTCTGGGCCTGGGATTTAGCTCAGTGGCACCACACTTGCCTCACAAGTGCAAGGTCCTGAGTTCTATCCTAGTACCAAAAAAAAAAAAAAAAAAAAGAATGCTTTGTTTTGGTTTTGCTAGGCCTCGCTCATATCAGCACCTCTGATCATCACCCCACATACCTGACCATAGGCTCCCCTCTGCTGCTTTGTGCTCAATAAAATACTGACAAGTCCAGAGGTTCAGGGTTTTTGCTCATTAGAAGATCTGACCTCCTGGGCCTCATTTCCTTCACTATTTGTCTTCATCTTCATTCTGCACCATGTACCTAATCATGGATCAGGGGCTTCACTGGGGGTCCCAGATAACTTCTATAACAGTTGTAATAGCTTACATTCCTACTAATAGTGTAGGAGGGTTCTTTTTTCACCACAAACTTGCCACCATTTGTTATTTCTTGTTTTCTTAATGATTGCCATTCTTTCTGGTATAAGATGGAATCTTAGTGTTGTTTTAATTTGTGTTTCTCCAATGGCCAAAGATGTTAAACATTTTTTTTCATGTATTTGTTGGCCATTTGGAATTCTTTCTCTGTGAAATATCTTTTCATTTCACATGCCCATTTCTTGACTGGTTTATTCATTTTTAGTGGTGTATTATTTTTGAGTTCTTTATTTATTCTAGATATTAGTCCTCTGTGAAATGGTTAATAAAAGAATTTTCACATTCTGAACATTGTTCTTTATCTTCTAATTGATTCTTTTGCAGTAAAAAAGCTTTTCAATTTGATGTAATCCCATTTACTGATTCTTGCTGTTATTTCTTGTGCGGTTTCAGTTCTGTTTAGAAAATCCTTTCCTACACCCAAGACTTCAAGTGTTTTACCTATTTTATCCTCCAGTAAGTTCAATGTTTGTGTTTTAATGTTTAGATCTTTTATCTATTTTGATTTAATTGGGGCCAGTTTCAATCTTCTACAGAGTTATCCAGTTTTCCCAGCACTACTTGTTTTATAGGCTGTCTTTCCTCCAAGATAATGTTTTTGACCACTTTTTATTAGTACATACTATATTTGCCATACATAGTGATCACATTCAGATAGTTATTCATTTCTAATTTCATTGTACACTTGTTGCATCCGGGGATGTGCACTGCAGCTCTAGCTCCACTGCTTTCCCTGTCTGAGCTACTCACCAGGACTGTAAACTCCATATCAATCACAAATTAAAGATACAAATTTTAAGGAATGGAAGACATTTTATTGGACACTTCATTGGAAAGTGGGAAAAAGGAGAGGAAAGAGAGCTACCCTAATAAGTCAGGGTAGGAAGCTCTGGAAAGATTGAAGACCCATGGACCCTTTGTTCCTGGCTGCTTTTATTAGGTGCCAAGGCCCTTCTCCCCTACCTGGAATTGACCATAACAGGATTGGTTCCCTGGGCTATCATAGATGATTTCTGGGCCCCAAGACCTTTAACCCCCTGCTCCACCTACATGTGCATTCTTAAATTATTATTTGATTTTCTCTTGCCCTGTCAAGACTCTTTATCTCTAGAATTTGTTAGAAGAGACCTTACATACAAAAATTGAGCTAGCAATTAAGTTTGAGGGGTGTATGTGTATTTTATGTACTAAATAAGAACTGGCTTTTACGTGGCCACCCTTTGTACCCTTTGCATTTTATTGAAGGTGGGAAGGAGTGGCTAGGCCTGTCTGACAGGCTCAGTTTTCTTCCTGCTTCCTTTAGTGAAGGTTTAGCTCTTTCTAGTTAGAATTTGACAGAAGGCTTACCCAGGACTTGTCTTACTTTTCCTGCCTACTGGCCCCCTTTTCCTACTCTATGATATGATGGTATGCATGGGATTATTTCAATTCTTTTAAATTTATTTAAGCATAAGTTTTGCAGATGATGTGATCTATTTTGGAAAAAGTCTGTTTGACGTTGAGAAAAATGTGTATTTTGTTGTTGGAAGAAACATTCTGTAAATATCTATTAAGTCTTTGTTTAATGCTGTGGTGTGGTTCAACTCTAATTTTTTCATAAATTTTTTGTCTGGTCCTATCTATTTGTGAATATAAAATATCTCCCAATAAACTTCAGATTTGTAAGCAAAAGTAAAATATCCTGGGTTTCAATTAAAACAGAGAATTGGAACTGAATTTCTAATCACAATCAAGCAGTTGCCAATATCAAATTACCTCTAAGAGGTAACTAGGGCCTGGAATGTAGCTCAGTGACACCATTCCTGCCTGGCAAGTGCAAAGTCCTGAGTCTGATCCCTGTTACCACACAAGGGGGGAAAAAAAAAGATGTGATTGTGATGGTTTCTGGACATGGCAGGCTTCTGCTAAATTTGAGTTTCTAATTTTGAACTTATAGTCAAATCTCTTTATAATGCTCTGGAAGGGCTAGATTCAAAGCCATTTTCTTGTACTGCAGCCATAGTTTATTTCTCTAAACAGAACAGCAAGGAAAAGAATGGTCACTCTGACCTTGAGCATTTAAACCCACTTGTGTTATTTTAAAAGTGGCAAATATGTTTACTTTGGGACAGTCTATTATGCTACTTGTAGATTCTCAAGTGATGACTTTACTAGAAGAAAAAAGAATACTAGGTTGATGGAGTATTGATGGATAAATAAGCAAATATCAGTTTATTTTGCTGGACAAACCAAACATTGTCTTACAATTTACCACAAACTTAAGCCAAGCTTACTTTTCTACCAATAATTAAAGCTGACTTTGATTTAGTACCTATGGATATAGGATAGATGAAATAAAAAATAAGCAGAAAGGAGACAAGGAAAATCACAATTTTAAAAATAAAATCTGTAGCTGCAAGGCACAAGCTCAGTTTAATTTTTTTCTTT